TTTACAACATCACAGAGAGTCTCAGACAGTTTGACTCTGCCATCCCCAGCTGGTTTGGACCAACCGGATAAATGCTGAACCATTAAGAATCGATACATGTTTCCACCATTGTGACAGGTTATGCTGCACGTAGCTAACCTTACTTTAATTAGTTTATTTAAGCTCGCTAGTACATTTAAATAAAGAGGGAAGGTAATAGTATAAACTCTGTAATTTCTGTTGCCTGGGAATAAAAAAAATAAAAACAGCCCTGCATCAAATGCTTATTGAAACTGAAACATATGTATTAACATATGGCAGAATTTCACTTACTGTATGTTTTAGTGCAGAGCTGATGAGGAAGGCATCTGTGCTGAGAGCATCTGAATGGAGGCTCAGATAATGAGCTGAGCTCAAAAAATACACTCTGAAAGGCTGGGATGTGTCAAAGTGCCCTGCAGTTGATTTGTGTCAGAGCTGAAAGAATACACTCAAGTCTCACACAGGTACATGGCTGGGCTTTCCTTTCTGCACCAGAGCCCTTTGGAGTCTTCCTCTGCTGCCCTGGGCTCCTGCTCTGGAAGTTCTGGACAATTCTAAACCCCACACCAATGGTCTCACACCAGAAATACTGACACCACTTCTTGGGTGGTGTGCAGGTGTTGTTACAGTATTGCTGTTTAACAAAGAGCAGGTGAATTGGAGAGCCCAAACACCAAGCTCAGATCTGGTTTGAAGGGCTCAGATCTTGTCTTCAGGGCAGCAGCTCTTTGGGGTTTGGTTTTGCACTCCCTGCAGATGGGTACAGCTGTGAGCACAGCTCCTCAAACCAGGCACTGATGAGTGAGAGAGAACTTCCCATGCTGATCCTCACCCTGGCCAAGCAGGCTTTGGAGTTTCAGACCGAGCCAGGGATTTGGGTTCTGAGATGAGCCCCTGAGCCCTGTGACTGAACCATTTCTCCTGCTCACAGCGATGCAGGGCTCCAGCAAACTCTGCAAAGACTCTCAGAGCCTCTTGCTGCCAGCTCCTGATATTATTACTGGGCACTACAAAGCCACATTGTTCTACGCCTGTTTACTGGAAGTAAGATATGAGGATACCAGGTGTAAGTGCTTTTCTGCCTTAAGGATAGAAGTCTTTCTGATTTGACCACAGTAGGACACCTGCATCGCTCAACCACAGCTTACCTGGCTCCTGCAAGATGTTTTCAAAGCATCCAGTTGCTACTCAGTGACCCAGAAAAAAATTTACCACCTACTCACAAACCCTCATTTTGAAGTACTGTGCCTCTTATTTAATGCAAGGAATCTTAAGGTTCTTCAGAGTGTGGGCTGTGTATTAAAATGTGTGAACCACTTGTGTACCATTGTGCAAATCACATCTTTTGATATGAAACTGTACTCCAGGGATAATTCCTTAAAAAAAAAAAAAGTGACTATTGAGACCAAGGAAAAGTATTTAACAGGTGTACATTGCTTTTCAGGGAAGCATGAAAGATTCCAGGCATGGAGCTTAGGGACATGGTTTAATGGTGGGCTTGGCACTGTTGGGTTTACACCTGGATTCAAAGTTCTTTTCCAACTTAAATGATTCTGTGATTCTGTTAAATAAAGAAAATAAGTTGGCGTGACTCAAACTGTCTGTTTCTCTGAAACACCAAAATAAGGTGATGCAGAGAAGTCATGTCTGTGTACACATCAAAATTCCATTTTCTGACAAGCTTTGAATCTGTTGCATTTCCATTTTTACCTGTACTGAGGGAAATTCTGGAGGTCCTGTCATGACTAGATTTCAGTTTGTGGCCCTGGAACATGATTTTTTAAATTTATTTATTGAACTCCACCCAGGTACAAACTTCTCCTTCGGAGGAAGGACAGGTTGTCTAATTTGGGGTAAAAAAGCTACACGAGAGATGTCTTGTTCCTGCAGGTGCAAATTCCCTGGCAGAAAGTGTAAATGTGCTGCTCTCCCTTCAGTTGTTGAAGATGGCATTAATCCTCTTCCTCCTCTTCCTCCTCCTCTGATCAGTCTCTGCACTGGAGGTCACCTCCCACAGACACGGCACAGACAGAACCTGCCTGCTTCTCCCCTGCTTTGAGACAAAATCAAGGCAGGTAATTTCAGCTCTTTGAAGGCAGGTTTGTGCTAAAGACCTGGATTTTATGCTGAAGTGGCTGACACTAATATAATTTGGGGGATAAGGGGTAGCCTTTGGCAGCAGACACTGAGTTGTATCATCCTCAGCCAACGCAGGAAGATTTTCCAGAGCTTGTCTCTTAACACCTTGAATAAGCCCCCGACTTAAATCCACCTTGATTAAGAGCAAAATAGATTATGTATGCACAGGAGCGCACAAAATAATATTTAAATGTCTGTTCAGGTATGTTAATAATGCTGAGAACAGAGCCTTGCAGTTGTGCTCTCAGTGAGGCAGGACAGTTTGGCACAGGCCTGGACAGCGAGCTCGGTCCCAGCCCACTGTTTCAGTCACAAGACTATTCCCCAGTATGGATTTGTCCATCCCCTATGTCTTTTCCATCATCTCTAAACTTGAGTGACTCCTATGACTAATGTGATTGTAAGTCATAAAACATTAAGTTATGACACAATCAAATCAAAGCCAAGAAATTCATAGTTAGGGTGTAGGCTACATTCTTAACTCAAAACCAGAAAAGCAGCATTACAGGGTAAACAAAAGGCTGAAGTGTCAGCCCTCATTTTTCATTTTTGGGCTCTTATCAGTTTGTATCAATTTAAGCCTTTTTAAAATATGTAATTTCTTTGACTTATTTTTTTCCCTCTAGGAACTGAAAATTATTCTGCTTTGAGGTCTGGAACCTGCCATACAATAAACACTACTTAATTGGGACATGCTTAATAGGGATGGCCACTTTAATGGGACATCTCCTAGGGAACCTATTTATGTTAATGAGACTGAATGACAATGACTGTTTCTTAAGTGGGGCAACAAAAAGGAAAAAACTCCACTTAACAGGGATGCACTCAGCTGTTACTAGTTTGTTAAGTGTTTAACCAGGTGTTAAATAGGTCTAAAATTCTGAGCATCCATCTTTTAATTCCAAACTGGAAAATTAATACATTTGCACCAAGATGAAATGCAGTGTTATGATCTGTAAAGTGGCATTTAGTGTGAAGTAAGGGCCAGACTTCTAGAGTAGAAGTTCTCATCTCCAAAGAGAGCTCCTCTCTCCAAGCATGGAGCTACTTGTGGATTGGATTTGCTCAGAGTCATGGCAAAGGGTAGCAGCGAACTCCATTTTTCTATTTATGAATCATGTATTTTACCCTCTCACCCCGAAATCTTTCCATGCTGTAATTTGAATAAAAAGATGGGAGAAAAAAAGAAAAAAGAAAAAAGAAAGCTTCTTAATTCTCAGCAACCCTTAGGTCCCTAAGATCATCTCTGAAGACTTCCAGGAACCTCCAAAAGCCTGTAAACTATCTTGAAGGTTATTCTCTCCCCATAGCTCTTTTGTGCTTTGCTGTTTCCTCTGTAAATATGTATCCACGTTTCTGGGGGGGAACGAGAGACCATGTCAAGAAGTTGTCTGAAAAACAAAAAATCCCATCTTAGGCGACAGCTATATGAATTTGGGGACTCTCCCAGGCAAACCAAGACATCTGATTATGCCATTGTATCCTGTTTGGCAAAGGAGAGAGTGAAGGGAAGTGATAGACATGAGGGGCAGATGGAGTTTGCCTAATGTGTCTGTTCTTTTCTTCGCTGCCTTTTCAATTTAAGAATGTAGCAAAATAGCAGCTGCTCATAATTTCATGAATCAAGAAGTATGTAAATTTCAGCTACAAAATTTGTTGCATAGTTAGACACACACACACACACACACAAAGAAGGGGGAAAAAAAGGAAAAAGATCTTGCTTGCATCTACAACTTTCTTAATCTGGCATGCAAATTTAGCTTTCAGGCCTGGTTTATCTCTCATTTAGGAGTGAACCCGAGTGGCTCCATCGATTTCGCTGCTGTCATGCAGGATAATGCCCTGGGATCATGGCAAGCCTGGCATGAAAAGCTCTTTTCATGCCCCTGAGATACCACGGGGGGTTTGTGCCCTACCTGGGCTGCAGGTGGAGGGAAGCAGGGAAGGGCTGTGGTGGGGATGTTTCCTGAGCAGGGGTTCTGAGGATGCTGACAAGCGCTGCAGACAGAGATGGAAATCCCTCTCCTCGTGTTTCAGTCCCTAGCAGCCCCCAAATTAAAAGATGGAAAAAGTGACTGGAAATGCATCATCCACATGTATAAAGCAGTGCTCAGGAGGGGCTGGGATGGGGGCCTCCACACACCATACAGCTGGTTTTAGTTTTCAGACAAGATTTACTAAACACATGTAAACCGTGCGTATCTGTTTGAATACTTTTTGTGCAAATAACTTCCTCTGTGGTCAAGCTGTTCCTCTCAGATCCAGGCTACAGATTTGTGCTTTATACTCACCACTTTTTTACCCTTGGATTTCCACCAGTATCAGTTCACACTCAGAGTATGAAACTGTGAAGGAGGGAGCTGAGCTTGGCAGCAAGAGTCAGGAGAATTTACAGCGCAAAACGCTGAGCAAAACTCATGGTAAAGGGCAGGAATCATCCCTGGCTTGGCTCCATCCGACCAGTGGGGCAGACCCTGAGCAGCTGTAAACAGCCACACAACTGCACGTTCCACAGGAGCTGCAAGCATTTATATCACTTGGCCCAAGAGCCTCTTGCAGAGATGCAACATTTCACCAGCTCTGGTGGGGTTCCTCCTGATTTATACCCCCCGAGCGAGCAAGCAGAGCCAGGGTCTTTCTTCACCAATTAGAAGTGCCCCACAATTATATCTGCCAAGTGTCATGAGCTCCAAGTCTAAACACAAAGCAACAGCTGAAACTGGATATGAAGAAGCAGGAGGGCAGAGTTTTATGATAGATGTTTTATTGGAATCATATAAAAAAAAGAAAAGCATTTCACATATTTCACGGAGGTATTTTATGTGCAAATTTAATATGAATCCTCTTCTTGTTAAACTCTTACGTGATCTATGTACTTCAGTATATAAAACACACTATAGGACAACTATGAACAAGTTTATTAAAACAACTTGGGCTCCTGTTGACATCACCAACCACACAAGTGCTTGCTCAGATCTTATCAGTCTCTCCTTATATTTCAGGTTACCTACTTGCTCGTTTTCCCTATATATCTTTCATTGTTACAAGAATTCAACTCCTGGGCAGATCTCACAGATAAATCTGCTTGTCTGTTTGGGGAATATGGCTCTAGTTCTAATTTTGCAGACTTCGTTCAGGCAATACTCCCTCTGACTGCAGGGATTTTTGCCTGAGTAATCCTTTCAGAATTGGACTCTCCGTGATTTTCATTTACTTAACAACTTGGCATTACATCTGTAAAATATTAGCTCTGTAATGTAAAATATCAAATTAGATTTATGCATTAATCTAATCTATATATGAAGCTTGATAGTCAGTTCTGTTACACTGCATTATTGCAATTCCAGGCATTCTGTGTCATCTCACATTTATTCTGATGATGCAAGAGAACCAAGGAGTGAGACTGATAGATCAAATTTGGTAGCCCACGCATGTAGAAATCTGAAACTTTGAACAAAATTTAAAATCAATTTCCACTTTCAGATAAACCATGTAATTTGTTTTTTAAAACATGTAAATGTTTCCCTATCAATCACAAATAAAGAAGAGCACGTACAAAAAGCTAATCTGAAATAATCAACAGAATAACAAGCTATTAAACAGGAAAAAGCAGGTCAAAATATGTAGCCAAACTGCAAAGTATTCTCTAAAAGTCCCTGAAAAGGACAAATAAGCAATTGTTTATTTTCTGTGTTACAGTTGCAGTCTGAAAAATAAAAAATTACTCCTTCATACATGTTCATAAACTGCATTTATAAACACTTCGCACAACTAAATTATATTTGTTTCCTCCAGGTTGGCTGCCCTTGAACATTTTTCTCCTTCTTGCAGTTTTTCCTTTTTTATATAATCCCTTCATGAAAGCAGGTCTTATGCCCATGGCCCTGCTTCAGCAGCCAGCCCCACACAGCAGCCACTTAAGAACACATTAAACTAAAGTTTTGTGTGTGCTTTGGTACCTTTAAAAACTGCATTCTTGGAGACAACCCACCAATACATTATTCTTACATCTTAAAGCCATTTACTTCTCTTTATGAATGCTTCCAATTTGTTTCACTCTTGTTGGGCTGAATCCAGCTTGTTATTTACAGAAAGAACACAACAAGATTAATAGGATGGAGTCTGCACTAGCCTACACCCCTGGAAATTCACACTGATCCCATCAATTCCATATAATTTCTTTGGATTCATAGTAGGTTAAAGCCCCAATCCAGGATAATGCCAAGCAGATGCAGACAAGGGCCAGCACATAAATGTAGAGAATCGTGGCCAGAATAAAACTGGATCTCCTTATTTCAAAGAAGAAGGTAATGTTTAGATACAAAATATTACATGGATTTTTTTTCCCCCTGTTTGGTAATCTGTCACCATCTGGACACCAAATAGGAAATGATGCAACACCAGGGGGAGAAAAACCCAATTTATTTCATACATGTTACTAAAGAAAGAATGGATTGATGTGTTCCCCCAAGCACTTTGGCTCACTCATGTGTCACAACAGCACAGGTATGATCTCTTCAAACAGGAGGTTCTCCACACTGAAATGTTTCCTGTGGGACACAGCATCAGTTTTGCCAGCGTGTGGCAGCTGCAGTGAACTCAGGGCTTCCTCTAAGGGAGTCTATTTTCTCCCTTTGTGCATTAATTCAGAATTACTGTTTCTCCTTCCCCAGCATTCGCATGCAACCACCCCAAACACAGTTGTGTTTGCAGAAAATCACAGTTGTGCTAAGTCAGTCACAGTGCTCACATTTCTAAGAAAAGATGTGCTTCCCCAAATGAAACCTCACCCTCATGACTGGAGAACAAACCACCTCAGACACCCAAACCACAGATCACAACTCAGGTGCCCATGGGGGACCCACCGAGGGACATCACCACTGTTGGGGGACAGTGGGAGCAGAAAGCCCAGCTGAGGAGAGGAGCAGAGGGATGTTCCCTTCTTCCGACCCACGTGAAGTGTTTGTGTTTGGAAAGTGAAAGAAAAACCTTTCTTCTCTTTCCTCTGCCAGGGCAGCTCAGCTCTGCACTCACCCACTTCTGTGGAAGGGAAGGAAAGGGGAACTGGAGGCAAGAGAGAGCTCTGAGCTGTTTTATTTGTACTTCTCCTCCTCCTCCTCTGCCCTGCAACCCTTGAGGTGCCCCACAGCCACCACGAGATTTTGATCTCCCAGTGCCCACTGGTGCTGTGCAGAATGGAGAAACTGAGGCAGGACCCAGGGAGTCCTCTCATGTCACGAAGTCCTTTCATGTCACAGCTGCTGTCCCCAGCCACAGCCACCAAACCAGCTCCCCTGCCACTGGCACAGCGGCACAAACAAACAGAATAAGCCCAGGTGAGGTTCAGAACACAAAAAAGCATTTAAACTAATAATACAGGCTTCAGATCCTTATTCTAAAGTAAAATGTGGAATATTGGAGCTGAAGATTCAGCAGAAACTGGGAGAATTACCTGTCTGGGACAGAGTTAGTGGAGGAAAAGCACAGCCAAAATGGATCTGAGCAGGGAGGGAGAGGGGAACAGCAAGAACCTGAAGTGAGGAAGTGGCTGCATGAAGTGGGTGAGGGTTCATGATAGGAATAGCAAAATAAATACCATAAAAAAAAAAAAAAAAAGGATGTGCAAAATCCAACCCCCAAACCTCTAAGAGAAACCAGTAAAAGGTAAAAAACATGAAAGTTTTCAAGTGAGAAAAAAGGTGGGATTTTTTTCTTGGGAATATAATCTACTAACTTGTCTGCTGATCCCTTTAGAGGGCAGAAAAGCTAAATTCCCAAATCAACACCAGCCTAAGTGAGAGAGAAGAGTACTTCATAGAGCATGAGGCCAGAAAAAGACTCAATTTGCCTCCCATCCAACAAAATCCTGGCTCTGGTACCATCCTGTGCATGGGATATAGGATGAGAAGGCAAGGACAGTGCTGACAAATTAAAACTGGGGTGAACCATACCCTGAGAGAAATTCAGTATCAAATTTACTCACTCCAGCTCCAGGGAATGCATAACCCAATAGATCCTTTCCTCCTCTAATTCTTTCTGCTGTTCCAGATGTTCACCAAAACACAACCATGCATCTGGATGGAACATTTGGTGAGAAAAGCAGCTGTTTGAGAGAAATATTGTGGGAGCTCTTTTGGGGTCTTCAGTACCTCCTGCTGCACATTCAGAGACACCCCTGCAGTGCCATCCCATGTTTGTGTTGGTGTGGCTTAATCCACAAATCCTCAAGGAAGGTCTGTTGTGGGTTATGCTGGATCCTCATAAACGTCTCCAGAGTTAACCAGCAAGTAACCACACCACACAAATTTACTTTGCTTTTAATTGTGGCTGTTTTGCCTGCCCTCTGTGAGAATTGCTTTCTTCTCTTCCACCTGCCAGAGTGTATCTGTGCTCACGGGCTAACAGAAATCACAGGATTTTGTGCTTGGATCATGTGTGCTGCCATCTATATGATTTCTGCTAAAACTTCCCCAATTTACCAAAGAATGTGGGAACTGCCATGTTGGTTGAGAAAACAGGGGTCCATCCAGCTGAATGACCACAGCTGGACACCCAGGTAATCGTGTGCAGGCATGGGGGACACTTCTCCCTGCTATTTTCCCTGTTTCCAACCATTTTCTGCTCAGGGGCTTTCCTGAGCTTCTACATGTCACAGCATCCACATCACTGGCCAAACCCTCAGGCAATTTATGTGCTGCAAAACCTCTGGCTACTAGCAGGGATATAAATCAAGCAGAATTAGAGTCATTGACAATAATTGGGGGAAAAAAAATCGGTGATTTGGAAGACATATATGAGTTTTGATCTTAATTTGGACTAAATCTCCCAGGAACATAAATTATCTGTTTGGCTGTCTCTGTTCCCTGCCATCCCTGTGGAATCCTGCTGTGCAATGGCACAGAGCAGTAAAGGATATCCCAAATCCAGTTTAAGGGGAACAGAAGGGCACTTCCACAGTGGAGAGGGCTGGGATTTTGGAATGAGGAGCTCCTTTCCAGCAGGCACAAGAACCAGGGACAAGAATCAGCTGAAGGAAATGGAAAGATGAGAGCCATGAAGTGGGGAGGGAAGGGGCTGGACAAGGAGCAGACAGAGGTACAGAGAAGGCTCTGGAGGAATTCTTTTAGGGCACTGATATAAATTTGGGAGTCAGTTTACATGAAAATGAGAAGAAAAAAAACCACAAGAATCCTTGGAGAAGAGACCCAAAAGTTACAGGTGCTGGGAGAAGCAGCACCTCATCTTTCAGTGCCCTGGCCAAGAAAATCAACCAGGTTCATTAAGGCAAAGAGAAGCCCAAGTCCAGTGATCAATACTGGACTCATTGTCCAAAATATCCTCATGAATGCAGACTGATGCCCAGGGGAGCAGCCATGCTAGGGAACTGTTCCCAACAGTTTGGGACCTTTGGAATAAAGATCCATTTTCCTCAGTGTTCCAGAAGATGACATTAAAATCACAAGAATAATTTTCTGTGATAGTCCAAAGTGCAAATATGTTAATTAAAGAGCTGTTTCAGTGAGATTTTATTATATTAATAAGCAACAAATTTTAATGTGCTTTTCACCCAATTCCCCAAAAGAAATCTGTACAACATACTTAAAATTATTTTGGATGTATCAAGCAGTACTAGCTGCTGCCGCCATTTGAGATTTAAACTTCAAATCCACTGTGCTTCCTTTTTCAGTGCTCTATTAGTGCCCATTGGAAGAAGTTAGCATTTACACAGATCAAATCTAACTTTAGAAAAACCTTCCTCAAACGAACAGATGAGAATGATTCCTCAAAACACAATAACCCAATAAAACTTTATTCTAACCACCTTCTTGACAGGGTTGCACCCAGTTTTCCAAGCTCTCTTTCCCATTGTACACAGGTACATTTCAGCAGGAACACAAAGCACATTATCACTTGCTCCAAGGAGCTCTGTAGCCTGCAGGATCTTTGCAGAATCCAGCCCGAAGAAATGCAGCACTTTGAGAAAACAGAGCTGTCAAGCAAGATTTCCTTGGGCTTGCTGCCACACAAAATGGCAAACGAGGGACTTGATCCTGCATGGAAGACAATAGGAATTATAGGTGCTCAGCGTTTGTCTTCCGGCACAGTTAAGGTTTCTCAGTAATTCCCCAAATCAGCCGTACTGCTTTATACTTATTCAAAATTACATAGCTAAAAGCTTTGGTATGCAGCCACAGAGCTTTTATTTCAAATTGGCAATAATGTAACTTCTGCAAAAAAAAAAAGACTACAATAATGTTAAAAATATCATAAAATGTTATTTATATCAGGATTCATTTGTTACCCCATATGACAATCATTCATATTTCTTGACAGATATAAACCTCCGCTTAACACATTAGTATCATAAATATTACCAGATATAACACTGTAATTTAATACCTACCAAATGTATTTTAAAATATTACTCAATTTAAAACTTTGGATTTTAACCAGATGTGTTTCCAGAAAATGATTCAGGTCAGATGCTTTTTTCTTTTCCCTTTTCTGTGCGCGCGCGTTCAAAGCGGAGCGTTCCTGTGTGATTTATTGTGCCATGACTGTGTGCCCCGAACCTAAAACAGCACCACGATACTTCATCCTTGAGGCTTACACACCTGCAGTCCAAACTAACAAGAGAAAACATCTACATGGCACGGCAGGAGCCTTTGAAATGTCTTTTTGCAGTTGCCTGGACACAGAACAGACTGGTAGAACAGGGAGGCAGCGGAGAAAGGGTGAAGACAGGAACTCCAGCCTCTTTCATCTAGAAAGGGGGGACCATGGAGAGATTAGAGGAAAGGATTTTGATTAGATCACTGGAATGTGAAATGATGCTTCCCAGGATTAAAATCCTATTTTAGAGCTACCAAACCGGTTACGGCGTTAGTCAGAATTCGGAGACTCGCGCAGCTCCATCCCTGCTCCGTGCCCGGCTGTCGCTCCGAGCACCCCACACCCTCTCCCCAGAGCAGGGGCTACCCCAGCCAGGCACCCCAATCCTCTGCAGCACCATCCCAGCAAGGAGCTGCCCTCCCTCAAAGCATGGCACTTCTGGGGGAGAAGCAGTTTTCCTCTCCAAGGGCATCCCTGGGTCCAGCCCCACGGCAGTCATGTGGAGGCTCTTGGATTTCGGTCCCATTGGGCCCCCAGTTTAGATCACCACGTAGAGGTCTGACATTTTCATAACCAAATGCCATTAGTTTTATTCCCAGCACAGCCAACCAACAATCTGAAGGTCTGTAGTCGTCGGGCTGATCATTACGTGGAACCCATTAACATAAAACCCGCCATCGCAATTAGTATCTTTGTAAGCAGCAGCCTCAGCAAAAAGTGGAAATGGAGGCTGAAATGATGGTGCTCTTCCAAAGGAGGCCGGCAGCAGATTGGGAAATAATCTGTGGCAATTGCTCTGCTGCTGTCTCTGCCGTAACTTCTCCAAAGACAGGCAGAGCCATTTCCAAGCAGTCAGCCCACGGACTTGAGCGAGCACTAAATTCACTCGGTGATCAAATACAATTTGAGAAAAAATCTACAATCGCTCACTTGGGGGGGAAGAGATATTTTCCTTTTACAGATGAAGTGCAAAACAGCAAAAGTAGCTTATTTGGAAAAATACCGTGCACTTTATTGATTCCAGAGGGGATAGGTACAGACCGTGGGTTTGCCCATTTCCCAATAAAAACAGGGAATGATTTCGAGGGGTGCAAGGTATCTGCAGGCTGGTTTGTTTTGTTAGGAGATGAGCCTGTTAAAATATTCTTTGCTTTTCAGGAAGGGAACAAGAAAAATGTTCGTATTTACAGCAACATTATTGTTTAGAACAAAATAAGTTACTCCATCCTTTTAATCCCCGTTTCTATGGCTATCCTGCGCGGGGCCGGGACCTGAATTTCCAACCTCCGTGCGATCCGTCTCCCCTCGGCGGCACCGGCCCTGGCAGGGAGCGCCTGAAGAGATCCCGTTCCAGGCGCTCCCGGACGGCCGCGGACACCGGGAACCCGCTGCCCTCGGTGCACTTTTCCATTGCCGCTTCCCCAAAACTCTCCGCACTCGGCTAATTTTAGCCCCGCGGCTCCCCGAGCGGGCTTCCCCCGCGCCGCCGCTCCGGGCACCATTAGCGGGGCGATGCGATGCGCTGCCATGCACCCGCACCCCGCACCGCCCCGCATCCCCCCGCTGCCCGGCATCCCCGCGCTGCCCGGCCGCGTCCGCGTCCCCTCCGCACCGCTGTCCCCGCGCGCGGCTGTCCCCGCATCCCCCCGCGCGGCGCGGCCGCCCCTCTCTCTCTATCAGCCGCTCACTCTGTCTCAATATGTCTCAAGATGGCGGCCAATGTGGGATCGATGTTTCAATATTGGAAGCGCTTTGATTTACAGCAGCTGCAGGTCAGGCTCCCCCGCTCGCCGCACCGGCCGGGCCGCGCCGCCGGACCCCCCCTCCCTCCCTTCTCCGCCTTCCCTCGGGCCCGGCCTCCCCCTCCTCCTCCCGCTGCCGGCCCGCGCCGCCTAAAGGGAACCCCCCGCTCCGCCCGGCCGCGGCGCTCCGCTCCCTCCGCCCCCCCCGCCATCGATCACCGGCCCCATCGGAAATTGATCCTCTTTGTTCAATTCATCGATCAGCCCAAGATGGCGCCGGAGCCGCCGCTGCCGGGGCTGCCGCCGCTTCGCCCGCTCCGTCCCGGGCTGCTCTTTCCCCGCTCCGCGCTCCCCCCCGGCGGCGGGGCCGTGCGGGGCGGCGGGCGCGGCCGGGACTCCCGGCGGCCGCCGCTCATCCCCCGCCCGCCTCCTCCCTCTCCCTCCCCGCCGCCTGCCCCCTTCCCGCCGCCGCGTCCCCGCCGCTTTTCCTCCGCCGGGAGCCGGGGAAAGTTTACCGAGTGCTGGGACTTTGTGTGGGGGCGCCGGGCGGGCTGGCGGTGCAGGCGCGGAGCGGCGGGGGCTGGGGGCGCTGTGGTGCCGGCCGGG